GGATGTTGGAATTCTTGGGGGTAGCCTATCCTAATAATACTCTCAATCAAGCATTCTAAACTTTAGAGTCTTGACAGGCAGCATCTTGTGCATTCATCCTGGTATAATTGCACCGAATGGAAAAAAGGAAAAAGAAAACCCTAATTTCTCACATTAGGAACAAACATATGGAGAAACAAAGAGACATGGGAGGGGTGAATGCACATTGTTCTCCAAGGGTAAGATTTAAGTGAGCAAGAGGAGCAAAAGAAGAAAAAAAATGTTTGAACACCGCTGCAGGAGACTCTTGCTGTCTTCCATACCTGGGCAGCATTGTTGAATTCAGGCAATGGGTTTCCGTTATTGTAAGTCACTTTAACAAGTTCTTCCAAAGTACAACCATACAATAAATCATTCTTCGCAAGCTGTTTATTCAAAGCATCGACATAACCACCATGATGCTCTCCCCAATGCATCTCAAGTGTTCTTTGGCTCATATATGGTTCTAGTGCATCCTAAACCAAAAATTGGAAAATAATTCTCAATATTTAAGTCAAAATGCTGAATGAAATCATTTAACAACATCAAAAATCAAAATATCCTTTACAAATAAATGAAGAACATGACCAAGTAACATCTCAATGAGTTCAGTATGGTGTGACCAAAGACCACTTGAAGATCACATTGACCACTCATAGACCTTTTAATTTTATTTTATTTTGAGCAATCACACGTAGACTTATTCTTGTTCTTCAATTCATGATACTTCCATTTCAAAAAACAAAAGGATATAGTAGGCAGCAAGAAGGAAGAAGCCAAGATATCAACTGGCCTAAAAATTGCTGGCAGGATGTATTTAAAATTCACTGATGTGCATCCAATTCAGTGCAAACAAGAGTCATTACTGGGATCTAGTGTTTCCCCAAGAGCATGAGTAGAACAGTTATCTACCAATAATTATATGGAGTAACTTTCGAAAGAGTGATTATTAGGCCTATAAGTATACAACATGACAATTACTGTGTCAAAAAATTATTGAACAAACTATAGAAAATTAATGAAAAGTGTCACACACCTTCCAAGAAAAGAAATATAAGCATATTGACCGATTTTATCTTTCATAATCAATGCGAAGAACGCAGAAAGCTTGTGATACCATCTTTCATAATCAATGCAAAGAACACAGAAAGCTCACAAGCTTGTAGGGCGGGCTTCTTAACCCATAATAAGCAAGAACTTTTGATGCTCTATGATTCTTCTGATACAAGTTCGTCCTCTGCCTCCCATTCTGTATGAGGAAACACAATCAGCTTGACATGTTTGCCCTCAAAGAATCTGTCAAGAACACTATAAACTGCGCAACAAATTGTGAAAAAGTGAACATAACTTCTTCAACCAATTCATGGCTGTAAAAGCCTCTCTTTTCTTCAGTAGTTGCATAAAGAATAAATACTTGTCAAGCACATGGGATCAAAAACTTTGAATCTATCGCATGTATGTAATCATTCTACTTGGACAAATTTGCCCATATGCTGTCAGATAAAGGGGGCAAATGAAACCATTCTACTCCACATCATATAGATTTCCTTGCTCCTGAATCTTAATGAATTTTAATGGATATTCTTTTGATACTGGCCTTGATTGAGCAACCATTTTTTTTCTCCAATACTAAAATGTTAACAAAAGAAACTATTCAAGATTAAAAAGAGAACCAATGCCCAGAACAGAGACGAGACCTACCAGATAATGATGCTTGTTGGGCCTATTTAAAGGATTCAATGCCTCAGTAGTTTTTGGAACGAGATTAGAGCCTGAGCTGCAAAAGGCAGACCAACTCATTTCGACCAGCAGCAATTTCCTCTGGCACCCTCTCAACAAATCATCACTGCAAACACAAACCAAATTAAGAAATCAATCAATCACGAGCAATAAGAAAGCAAAAAGAAAAACTAAGCTGAATTTTTAACTTCTCTACTAGACATTTTATCAAATACCTTGTAAGCTAACACAAGCACATAAACATGCGTCAAGTCAGAGTACATGCATAAACAAACTTCAAATAAATATATATACATACGCATGCGTCAAATCATAATACATAGAAGAAGATAAGCATGCGTCAAATCGAAAACCAAATGCGAAATTTAGATAAAAGAAAAAACAAAGGGAAAATTAGGCATACCGAGATTGGAGAGCATAATCAAACACAAACCAAACTAAGAAATCAATCAATCACAAGATATAAGAAAGTACAAAAAAGAAAAGCTAAGCAGAATTTTTAACATTCTTTGCTTGACATTTTATCAAATACCTTGTAAGCTAACACAAAATTCAATGTAAATGTGTACTTGAATGTGGAGCCAAGATAATTATCTCTATCATCTTATCTTTTTATCGACTTTCATTTCTTTATTCAAATTTTCACTTATTAACTGCAGTTAGTTTTCTTAACCGATTTAACCAAATGTGGTGTTGGTGGAATTGAGAGCATTAAATTGGGTTGAAAAGACATTTAGGTCCCCATAGCGTAACAAGATCGAAACATTTCTCCTTTTTTCCCCTTTGACAATGCATAACATAAGCCGACACTTAAATTTCCTTCATCTTTCCTTGAATTCTATAATCTATCTTTCCAACTTCATACTTGGAATCAAACTCGGGGATTAAACCCATCTTATCTTTTTTTTTTTTCTTTTTAGTTTAGAAGCTCCAAATTTATAAAAGGAAAGAGGAAAGGGGAGGGCATGAGAGTCAAATTATGAACCTTACAATCACTTTAACATTCCTACCAATTAACTTGGATCTTGAGGATAATCTTGTCTTTAGATCTAAGGACCTATATTCCTATGTCTTTTAACATGCCAGGTTATCTAGGTTGGCTTTCAGAAAATCACTTTTACAAAATGCATCACTCATGTGTAGGGATGCATTCGAGTCGAGTCGAACTCAAGTAATACACTACTCAAGTTCGACTCAAGATAAAATGACTAAACTCAAGATCGAGTTCGAGCTTGTCAAACTTTTAGAATTCAAGTTTGAGTTTGAACTCGACTTCAATTTACATTACGCGAGCTCGAATTCAAACTCGACTTCAATTTACATTACTCGAGTTCGAATTCGAACTCGAATTTAATTAAATATAACCAATTTAAATCAAGCTCAATCGAATCTATTGGAGCTTAATCAAGTCTAATCAAGTTCACGTAATAAAAATTAATTATTTTACATATAATTTTAAATAAAGGATATTATTGACATTTCACATTAATAAATATAAAAATATATAAAAATATATATTATAAAAAGTTGGATTAGACTCGTTGAGCCTTCGAGTGCAAAGTATTGAAGTTCGAACTCGATTCGCTACTTTTATCAAGTAACTCGAACTCGAACCAAGCTGCTGACTGAGTGGCTTGCGAGCTCGAGTCAAGTCACTCGATCCAGCATCAACCCTACACATATAGTGGTGCTCCCCTAACTAGAGTTGGTTTTTAAAGATCATGTGAGTAAAATATTCAGTATTCACTAATTAATATCTGAATTTAGAATTTGAGATCTTGTCCATATAACATTTTCCCAAATATTTATCGATATTATTCTTGATTGTTGGATATTTTCTCTTCAGTATCAAAGATATTTCTAGTTTGATTTTTTTTTTCTGAATTTTTTAATTCTTTTTTCACTTCCAGAGAAAGAAAATTTTGTTTAAGCAATTTTCTCAACACAACTCTTCCACTTTTGTTGATTCGAGATTAACTTTGTCATTGTATTTATCTAGTACGCGAAAAGGGAGGTCTTTGCAATTAACAAGACCTTAGGCTTAGTTTTGGAGTTTAGGATAGAAAAGAAAAGAAGAGAAACTTAAGTTATTATGAGATAAGAGAAAAGATTGATACGTTGTTTGAGAGTTTTGAGAATTAGTAAAATAATTTTAGAAATGAAAGTCATTAAATATTTGTTTAAAACCTTTTTATGACAAAATATATTGACTAGATTTCTCAAAGTTTTCTTCCATTTCCGTCCAATTTGGAAGGAAAAGTTTTGACAACATTTCATTGGGTTAATCATATTTAATCCCCTTTTCTCAGTTTACCCCACAACCTTTAATTTTGCTCACTTAATCCCCTAGAGGACAAAATTATCCTTGCATTATTTTGACTTTTTATTTACCTTGTTTTCCTTTCTTTTTCTCTTTCTTCTTTATTTAATTCTTCATCTTTCCCACAAAAATCTCCATTTTAATGATTGAAATTAAAAAAGAAAAATTACAGAGATCTATCTTCTTCTTAAATGATTAAAAAAAATATTCAAATCATTTTTCTAAAATAATTTTTTTTTCAATTCTTTTAATTTTGGATTTTCCTCTTTCCTTTATAGTTTTTCATTTTATTCTCAAAAAAATATCATAAGATTAAATTGTTTTCCTTTCTTTTATTTATTTATTTTTCTTCTCTCTTTCATCATTCCCAATAGAAAATTCCATTTCAACGAAAATTTTTGTTTTGAGTTTGTAATTGCATATTTCTGGGTGAAGGTTTAAAAGCCATCAAAAACTAATTTTGATTTTTTGTATGATGCCATGTGTCACAAATTTCAATTGATGATTATTAATCAGGTCACAATTTTATCTTAAGATATTTTCTTGGGAATAAAATGAGAAACTAGAAAGGAAAGAGGAAAACCTAAAATTAAAAGAATTGAAAGGCTAAAAAAATTGTATTTTAGGAAAGTGATTTGAATATTTTTTTAATCATTTAAGGAGAAGATAGATCTCTGCAATTTTTCTTTTTTAATTTCAATCATTAAAGTGAAAATTTTTGTGGAAAAGAGGAAGAATTAAATAAAGAAGAAAGAGAAAAAGAAATAAAAGAAAAGAAAACAAGGTGAATAAAAATTCAAAATTATGCAAGGGCAATTTTGTCCTATAGGGTTAAGTGAGCAAAATTAAAGGCTAGATGGTAAATTGAGAAATGGGGTATACTTGAGGGGATTAAATGTGATTAACCCCATTTCATTCTCTTGAATCCGCCCATTTCCTTTCTTTTCTTTCTGCTAACAACTACTTTCTGCTAACAAACAAAGAAAACTACTTTCTCTTCTTTCCCTTTGTTTTCTGTCCAAATCCTCAACTCCCAAACGAAGCGACGTCAGTCAGAAGAACTACTGCAAAACCCTTTTCTTTCGTTTGACCTCAGGGCTCCAAACCGACTAACTCCCAAGTACGTTTGATCTCTGCTTTACTTTTCATTTTTCAATCTTTTCCTTTCGATTTTGACGAGAAAAGCGTTGAAATTTTGTAATTTCTGAGTGGAAAAATGTTAATTTCATGATAATATTCCAGCGTCGAGGTTGATTCTCGTTGATTCCTTCATCGACGGCCCGGAACATGGCTTCTCTCTTCAAGGTAAAAATCAATCTCTAATTAGTTATCGTAATTAAAGGGTTTTTATCCAAGCATTATCAGCTGTAATTAGTTATGCGAATTAAATTGATTTTGTGCAGTTTTAGGTTCTCTTTAGTATGTTTTTTCTGCTTGTGGTTTGAATTATTTTTAGTACTACAATGGATAGTTGTGGTTGAGGTTTGTTGTTAAAGCTGGTTTCTGTTTTTGGGGGTTTGATTGTTGTTTAGGATCTTAGCAAGCTTTCGCAGTACAGAGACCGGAGGTTTACGGGGTCACAGGAAGAATTCGAGCAAGCATTGCTGAAGTCGACCACGGTTTATATTGGGAACATGTCGTTTTACACGACTGAGGAGCAGGTTTATGAGTTGTTCTCACGTGCAGGAGAAATTAAGAGGATAGTCATGGGTTTGGATAAGAATTCTAAAACTCCATGTGGTTTCTGCTTTGTCATGTACGGTCCAATATTTTGCATTGCATTTCCTTATGCATGGTTTTGTTGTAATTTTCTTGTTTGGTTGATTTATGCTTGTAATTTCCTGCTTCTTGTTGAAATAAAGGTGGCATTTTGATGCTTATAATTGTATACCCCTGAGATTCATAATTTTTTGGATGCCTTGTGTTGAGCTTTATCTTGCTTGAGTTTACATTATGGTTACCAGATTCCATTTTTTTCCCTAATTGAGCTTTTGAAATTATTGTCTTCTATTTATTAAAATTCAAGCAATGTTGTTTTTCCTTTCTGCGGCAAAATTATTTTCTCTTTTCCTTGGCTTTATAGAAAAGGATGTTAGGGATAGAGAAGCCAAGAAAATGAGGGGTATTGCTTCTAGGTGGCCTAATTAATGTGCGATAGAGGAAGGAATGCTTCTAATTTGGGGACTATTGGTTGAGGTCAGACTTCCAAGTCATCAAAAGGGCTATACATTGTTTTCTTCTCCGTTAATTATTTTCACCTTTTTCCGGCAATGCGTTTTGTCGAGAATTTATGGTCTTACCATAATTCTGGAGATACAATGGTTAATGCTGTTTTCACTTCAATTGCTTACTGTCTCTAAATAAACGAAAATAAATGAAACAAAGTATGATTCATGAGAAGCAAGAGGACAAGTGCTTAATTATAGATGAGTAGTCAAATTGGTGCTTTTGGATTATTCATTGCTATAAATGTGTCTCTGTTTATGACACTTGGAATTATTGATTTGATAGTTGATGGTTGAAGCCTGGTAGACTATGCATTCGGCAAAGCAAGTACAATACTAAATTTACCCACACAACAGTCAGTTCTTTGATTCTGTCCATAAGGTTATGTTCATTGATGGTGATGTTTGGAATTGGTAATGCTAATTTTGAACTTGTAGTTCATTCACATTGGTTTGGTGTCTGTGCCTCCATTGAAATACAGTTTATTCGGATTTTTGAAAACTTTATCTCTTTTTAAGATGTGAACATTGTAGTTTTGATTATCTTTGGTCAGCAATAATGTTCCCCCGGTGCAAGGAAAAAGAAAAGATTAATGTGGTCATATTCTAAATACCCAAAACTTGCACTCTCCAGGTTCTACTCCAGAGAAGATGCTGAAGACTCTGTTAAATACATAAGTGGGACAATTCTTGATGATCGACCTATTCGTGTAGATTTTGATTGGGGTTTTCAAGAAGGAAGGCAGTGGGGCCGTGGCCGAAGTGGTGGGCAAGTAATATGCTGCCCGCCTCTTCTCCTATGTGCTTCTTTAAACTCTTTTATTTGATGAGATTCCTTGAATCTGCGTTAATGTCATTATTATTCTCTTTCTCAGGTACGGGATGAATATCGTACTGATTATGATCCAGATATCCTTTCAATTTTCCTTTATCCTTATTTATTTTTTGTCCCAATAGGTTTAACTATTGTAAGCCTGGCATGCTAAAGGTACGTTGTGTGCTTTTACCTTGAATTTTTCTTTTCTGCTGTAATCCAGTTTACCTGTCAATCATGTCTTGGAAAGCTACAGATTTGTCTGGAATAGATCAAGTATTACCTCTCCATCAAAAAAGAAAGCTAATACAGAAAAAGGAAGAAGAGAAGGAAAGAGTTCAAAATTGTACAAGTTATGACTCATTGCCAGGATAGTCTCATGATCCCTGGATTGGTGCTTTCTGGTTAAAGTCTAGGACACCAAATCTGGAGTCTCTTCTCTTGAACCTAATAATAACAAGTTTTTAATTTCCCCTGGTGTTATGTCATAGTGTGAAGGCACTCTGTAGAGTTGCAAAGAATCAATTGATCATATCCTTGGAAAAATTATGAAGAATCTAAATTAGCATGTTTATTAGTAATAAAAACTGTCTATTGAGGTAAGAAGGTATTTTTAAGTACTTTTCCCCTTTTTTTCCTTTGAGATACTGCAACTTATTAGACTGAAGGAAAGTTATTCAGACATGTATAGAGGAAAAGTTGAACAGGCTTCAAGTTCTAAGATATGGCCGAAATATTCATATAAGGGTTATCGTTTGGTATTTCTTATTATGAGTGGGCCAGCATTGCCGATTTTGCTAATTTCATTGAAGGTTTTATCTGTCTATGTCAAGGATGATAATGTTTTTGCAATCATCCCCCGAGTTTGTGGTCCTCTTTGATCTCTACATATTTACTTTTGTTTCCAGTCTCTTGGTATTGAAGGGTCACTTTCGAGGTGGACAAATGGTTGATAAGTTCAATAGCCTGGCCTTTTTCTGGCTGGAGATCATGTACATATGTTGTTTTTTTCTGCCCTTCTATCTTAGGTGAGATTCTAATGTTTTCAGTGGACAAACAATTGCAAAACTTGCCTTGATAAGTTTGACTAGCACTTCAGTATCATAAATGTGAAGCAATGTAGCTGTGACGTGGTTTATCTCTGGCTCCTTTTGTGTGCTTATAAAATATATACCTTATGGAGAGACACTTGTTTTGTGCCGTTTTTGATTAGAATGTCTTGATGGGAAACATTCATTGTGCTTTTACCTTCAGATTTAAAATATATGCATATTCTGGCTCGTTGATTTGGTGATTTTTGTTAGATGTTGTGATTTAAAATTGCCTACCACGCAAATAATGTCTTTGCTTATTCTAAAGCAACGCTGGCCTTTTAATTATTAGTCATTTATTCTATTCATTCCATCGCTGAGGCTTCTCCTTTTGTCTCCGTTAACTTCCCATTAACTGGTAATGCAGTCATAATGCATTTATTGATGTCTATGAAGTCTGTAGCCTTATGTGGATTTAGCTGAATCATAATAATTGTGGTGTTTTATATATAGTATTGCAGCTCAGTGTACTTTGATTAGGTAAACCCTCTCATTTGACAAGCCTATTTTTTGCATATCCAAATACCCTTAACTAGCAGTACCTAGAGGCGGTTATGGAAAATTGGTTCAGAGAGAGTTGGAGGCACAAAGACAGCTGGTGGACTACAATGCAGGATCGATAGGCGCAGGATCGCTAAGCTCTTTTCCACCTGTCATGCCACCTCAATGTAAGTTAGGAGTAATTTACATGCTTTGCTTTTCTCTTTCAGCTGGTAGATACCTGATCTATGTTGGTTTGTTATACAGAACTGATTCATATGACATGTTCAATCTACAAGAGTTCTCTTGATTGTGGAATTCATCCATTCAGTAATCATCTCAAATCTGAACTAAAAAGCAAGCAAGTATACTTGAAAGGTTTTTCTTTGAAGATGATATAATTCAGTTGAAGAGCTATTAATTCTAAATGAGTTCTTTAGTGTATAAAGATTTCGTAATAAGTAGTGCCTATTATCTATGGCATTTTGAATTTCATTTAAGACATTTAATTATGACGTTCCCTTGTTCTTCTTTGGTATCTAGTGAAATTGCTTCTGAATTTATTTTATTGTTTAGTCATAAGCATTCATCTTTTCTAAGCAAAATGGGAGGCTGGATTTAACTATGAAATTAGTGCTAATACAAAACTTTCGTTGATCTGATATCAGAAAGAAAGCCCTTTATCTTCTAATATATGAAGTATGAATGCACTTGATTCCTAATAGCTTGACCAATGAGAATTTTGTTGATTTCCCTGTCCGTTTCCTGTAATTGTATTGTTGCTAACCTTTTAACTCCTGTAGATGGTAGGCATGGTGGACACCAGGGTTATGGGGGTTCTCATCGACATGGTCGAGGTAGCATTCTTGGACAATAGTTTTTGCTTCCTGCTAAGATCGATAGCTATATTCGTAATGATTTTTGTCTTTGTTTTTTTCTGGAGAAGATTACCATCGCAAGCGATATCGTGAAGATGACCGTCGTGGACCAGAGTTTTCAAAGAGAAATTTTGACCATGAATCTAGGAGAGGTTCTGATCATGACTCTAGACCGGTAAACTTTTCTTTTCTTTTTATTTTTCCTATTGTTATTTTCAATTTTAGATTTTTAATCACTTTGTTTCTTTAAGAATGAAGACATTCTACAAATACGTGTGGAATGTGTGCTCAAATATTATGATAAGAGGAGGTCATCCTTTGTATCAAAACAACCAGCAGTTTTAATTATCTAAGTTACTAGCGTATCCTGCAGAAGATCTAACCAAATGGTGTTGAACTTCATAACCTTGATCCTTATTGTTCTGGTTATAGGACATTTTTCAACAAGTAGTGTGGTTTTTCCTCTCGAATCTCAGTGGTTAAAGCAGACTTCTACGTTTTCTTATGCTTTTAGTGCTTAAACATTAGGCACTGCGCCCCACATTATCAGTTGGCTTTTGTTTTAGGCTTTGTTTTCTCTTCCGTGCTTTCACACTTGTAAGTTTTATTCTTGGATTGGTAAGATTTAGGAAGATTAGAACCAAATCAGTAAGTTACGCTATACCGTGATCACTTTAGCGGCATTAGATCAGTGTTTAGATAAATAACTTTCAGCATCATAGATCCTCTGGAAGTAGAGAGGCCAAGTCTATTGGAGCTTTAATTGCTTTGGATGTGTGATATCAGTGGGGTCTTATGAGTGGAGCAGATATCGTCGTTATAACTTCGTCTTCAGTTGAACATTTGCTCCTGTAATTATCCTTTCTATGAAACATCTGATGTTCATCTACTGCTGCAGGAAAAGAATCCCCGGTTTCGTGAGAGTGGTGATTCCGATGATGATGAGGATGAAGATCGAAAGCGACGGCATTAATTAGTTCAAGTCAGAAATGTAAAATCTGGTTGCTCTTAAAACTTTGTACTGCAATCATACAATTCTGAAGTAGATGAATAGCTAAATAGGACATTTCTCTTGTTATCTTATCTTGTGAGGGGTAACCTGGAAGAAATTGCTAGCGTGTAGCTCCAACTGTACACTCTTTAGCGTGCGTTCATTCCTACCTGCAGATAGAGAACGATGAAAGAAGGAAAAAGAGAGAGCCCTTGTATTCCTACCCTCTTCCTTTGCTTTTTTGATTGCCTTGTGATTTCGTACTGGAAAAAAACAACTATTTATAGCTCACACAGGAACGGCCACGTCCAGTTTAAATTGGATCTGCTATTGATAGTTGCTTCCAACTGAAAGTTAACAGCAATGTTCCAGATCAGTGCAACCATATTAAGGAAACCGACTGCCAACTTTTCTAAACTCCTACAGCACTCAAAAGGGCCAAAACTCCAAACGGAGAAGGGATGTAGAGCCTTGACTCCTGACTTTAAAGAGTCGCCTTCTGGATTTCAAACACTGAAATAAATCGATCATCCCCAGTGTTTATGTTTAGGGAGAATTGTAATTTTGGTCCCCAATCTATAGTGTATGCGCGGAATTATCCCCAATCTATTTCGAAAATCAATCTTGGTCCCCAATCTATTCAATTTTGCTCTAAAGTGGACAATTGACGGAATCTCTTCAATTTCAATTGGAACTAAATCACATGAAATCACGTGCCGGCACCTAAAACCCTTTTTTCAATTTTTTTAATTTCTAAAACATGTTTTTTTAAATATTTGCAGCTTTTTCTTGCCTTTTGTCTTATTAAACAAAGACATGAAAGAGGTAATCTCACAATCCAAATTACTCCTCTTGTTGGCCGCCGATTTCAAATCCCCAAAACCCACAGCACGAGTAAGAAGCTCAGCTTGGCCTCCAAGTCCAAGTCTCGTTCTTGCCTCCATTAGTAATGGAGATAATCTGCAATCAACGCCAGAGACGGATCCAGTTCAACTCTCCTGCACAAACAACAGGAGCAGCAGCAGTACTAGTTCATAAGCAAGCAAGCAAGCAGCGCGAGAGAGAAGAGCAGATGATAATAATTGGAAATCAAAGGGATTATACGAACCAAATCATCAAAGGGATTATACTAGTAAGTATATTCTTTCCCTATTAGCCATTTTTCACCGTTGAACTGGAATGAGCATTCAATTGAACCACTAGTATATTATTGGTAGGTCATGCTTACGGTTGGAACAGACACTTCATCGATGACTATAGAATGGGCCTTGTCTCTTTTGCTCAACCATCCCGAGGTGCTAGAGAAAGCTCGAGCTGAATTGAATGCTCAAGTAGGGACTGATCGATTGGTCGACAAACACGATCTATCCAATCTTCCTTATCTTCATAACATTATTTCAGAAACACTTCGGTTGTACCCAGCAGCACCAATGCTAGTGCCACATGAGTCGTTCGATGACTGTAAAATTGGGGGATACAATATTCCGCGAGGCACAATTTTGCTAGTTAATGCATGGGCAGTTCACAGGGACCCAAACGTTTGGGATGATCCAACGAGCTTCAAGCCAGAGAGATTCGAAGGCTTGCAGGTTCAGCCATCAAAGCTGATTTCATTTGGGATAGGAAGGAGATCTTGCCCTGGTTCTGGCCTAGCACAGCGGGTGGTGAGTTTGGCCTTGGGATCTCTAATTCAGAGTTTTGATTGGAAAAGAATTGGTGAGGAGGAGATTGATCTGTCTGAAGGGACAAGAGTGTCCATGCCAAAAGCCAAGCCACTAGAAAAAAACATGTTTTAGAAATTAAAAAATTGAAAAAGGGGTTTTAGGTGCCGGCACGTGATCTCACGTGACTTAGTTCCGATTGAAATTGAAAAGATTCCATCAATTGTCCACTTTAGTGCAAAATTGAATAGATTGGGGACCAAAATTGATTTTCGAAATAGATTGGGGATAATTCCACGCATACACTATAGATTGGGGACCAAAATTACAATTATCCCTTATGTTTATTGAGTCCAAAGTGTCTTGCAAAGATGCTGTAACGAGAAATTTTGTTAATATTTGACAAATGAGTCTTGAAAATCCTTAATGGACTGTATTACCTGTCTCTCGTAAATCCTATTACTGCGCAATTCCTACTTGAAACCTTTGGAATGCATAATCTACTTGATATGATTGCATTCCTAAATCAGACACAAATTATTATTTAAACTAGATTTGCATAATACATGTCTACTTGTAGTTGTAGGTCACAAATTTCAGTAACTAATAACCGCAGCATAAAAGTGACATTGAGTAATTTTATAACCGTCACTTTGTCAACATGAGTAATCTATTGACTCTCACTCGTCGACAATATTTTTGTATGAGTAAATTTTATATACACTGTCAGTGTATATATTATTACGATTGGATGGATGACATATCAGCAAATTTTAATTTTAAATTTCAAATTCAAATTTTATACATGTGTCATATATTTAATGGTAATGCAAACAGATATGACTGTGAAGCCTGTATTGGGAAGGATGTTCAGTTTAATAAGAAAGAAGAGAGAATTCGGTATATCACCATCTTAATTATGACTGAATCTTCTCGCGATAAATGAAGCCGTGTCCAGACGACAGCAGAAGGGTAACTCACAATTGACCCGAATCCTGCTATCCAGGCGACAGCAGAAGGGTAACTCACAATTGCATATAAAATTAATCCAATATTAACGAAACAGTAATTATCTATGAACTGAATAGAAATGCTACGAATTATATAGTCGGGCCTTGCAAACAACCCCGGCCCCGTCCACGCCCTGTATAAAAGCCCCAAGGCCGGTATAACAGCTCCAAAGCCTTTGGCGCCAACTTTACCAAACTCCAAACTAAGGATAGTCCCCCAAAAAAAAAATTCACGGGGGAAGCTATTGACGAATTCTTCAGTCCTCGGAGGAGGCCATGGAAGCGGGAAGCGCTGAAACCGAACAACCTCTAGAAATGGAAGTTGAAGAAGAAGAGGTTGCTCCAATTTATAAAGAGCCGCCGAAAATTAAGCTACTGGAGGAGTCGGTAGTTAACAGAATCGCCGCCGGAGAGGTTGTTCAGAGGCCGGTGTCCGCCGTGAAAGAGCTCGTCGAGAATAGCTTGGATGCTGACTCCACATCTATCTCCGTCGTCGTCAAGGACGGTGGACTCAAACTCATTCAAGTTTCCGATGACGGACACGGCATCCGAGTAAATTCCAGCTCCTTCATTATTAAGCCCTAATAGCTGTAATTGTATTTAAAGATGCTTTCTATTCAGACGTAGGAAGTTTCTTTCATTTGATTAACTTGGCTATAATTGTACTAAGTGTTTTAACGATTACTGCTTAGAACACCAAAGAACAGAAATTATGAAGGGAAAGGTGTGGTATGGATGTTCGTGAAAAGTTTGTGAGGGTAAAAATGGCCAACTTTGATCAATTATCAGAAGAAGAAGTCAATGAAATGGAAAAGGACTGGTTGCATTGGGTTTGGGCCAAGTTTTGAAGGTCCGTCTGACACAAATTTGTATAAGGTGCCGTTGATACATTGTTAAAGAGTGTATCGTACAAGTCTTGGTGAATGGTGAATTGTTTCAAAAGAAATGATTTTGTGTGTAATACTTTCTGTCTACAATTTTGTGCATCTTCAATGGGGTTGCAATAAACAAAAAGAAGAAAATTTTATAGGGTGGATTCTTTTGGTTGATCTGATGATCTTATGTCTACCCAATTTTTTTTTATGTTGATTTGTTAGCTACAGCTAAACAAACAACACATGGTTGTTTCTGTCCATGAAGAGTTCTAGTCAACTTTTGTAGAAAAAGATGAAAATGCAGGATTTTGGTGTGGCTTTTGGCCAGTGCATGAATGATGCTCATTCATAAAAAGGCAAGTTATATGAATACAAATATTAAATGCCATAAATACTGTAACTACCAGACGATCTTTTGGAAAGAAAAAAAAAAGAAAGAGTAGGAAATGTGGCATTCTCCCAATACTAGGAAAGACTAATATTGCATTCTGAGGGAATGCAGTCCATTAAAAGTACTAGTTAACTGCAATTTTGTTTCTACTATTTCAAATAATCCCGGTAAATTTTCAAACCTGACCACTGTAGAAACATTGGCTCTACTATCTTCATCTTAAATCTTCTGTTGCATTATCAGACACACAATCATGTACCTCTATAATTTTGTTGACATTCGCTTTGTGTTTTTTTGCATGTTTAGTATGAGGATTTGCCAATATTATGTGAAAGGCATACAACTTCCAAGTTGAGCCATTTTGAAGATTTACAGACCATACAGTCAATGGGGTTTAGAGGTGAGGCCTTAGCTAGCATGACTTATGTGGGTCACGTGACGGTCACTACCATTATGAAGGGTCAGTTGCATGGCTACAGGTAATAATAGCAAGTAATATATGACATGCAGCATGTCCATTTATATTTTTTCAATTGCAGCTGTTTAATTTATTCCTTCTACTTAAACTCATTGACTTGAGGATGGTAACCTATTCCATCCTCTTTTTCCCTTTCTTTCTCCTTCTCAGGGCGACTTACAGAGATGGTGTCATGGAGCAAGAACCAAAACCATGTGCAGCTGTGAAGGGGACTCAAATAATGGTAGGTTTCATAGTTTTAAGATGCTTTACTGCCCAAGCGCACTACTTTTAATTTGGCATTGTAATTAGTTTGCTTGAGCTAAGTGAAAGAACAAATACGAAAATGTAATGTTATAGTCAAGTAGCTAGAGTTAAAGGAGGCAAGCATATGCAAATTATCCTGATATAATCATTTTGGAGCCAATATCTACCACTTGTTCTTATAGATGAGGAACTTTTCAGATGTTATTTTGAGTTGTTTCTCCTATTGTTTCATTGTGTGAGGAACTGTATTTCTTTGGCAGGAAAAATTTGATACTTCCTATGAAGAATTTGAATACGAAACTAATCACTTATATCCTATTCTTTTGACTTGTTCAGTTACTTGAATATACTAGGAACCATATTGATGCAAAAAGGAAACATTGACAACTTTGGAACTTAGTATAATATATAACTTAATATGAAGTATTGCTTAATGGCTTCTCTCTTTCTTGATTTTCACAACGAAAAATTTTGTGAGAGAAGAAAGCTAGATGATTGAAAATTGTGTGTTGCACTTTAAGTATAATCCATGCAATATGAGACTATTTTGTCCAATGTTCCGCGTATCTCTCTCAGGTTGAGAATTTATTTTATAACATGATTGCTCGTCGGAAAACACTTCAAAATTCAGCTG